ACTAAAAGCCCAGGAGGACACCAGATGTCCCAGGGAGCCATCTAGGAAGCACAGATGTTTTATTTTCTTTTGCTTCTCACCTTCTTTCTGCCACCTGCTACCCAGCGAATCGTGTCCCTGCTAAGACTACTCACTGAAGACCCTGCGGCGCCCCGTTGGCCTGTGCCCGCACACCCTCCTTGTGGATGCACAGGTAGCAGGGATTTCCAAGTGGGCAGAAGTTTAATAAAATAACTTATTTACAGGAACCTACCCCCACAAAAAAAAATAAAAATAAAACCTCCCCAAGGATGGCTCATTCGCATAGTATTTTGAGTGTTAATTGAACTCTTCTGTTCCCTGGGGAACACATAGAAGTTTTGTTGTTACAGTGGGTTGTTTGTTTCTCCTTTTATGGCCTGTGCAGCTCAAGGCCCCATGCTGGGTGATACTGTTGACAAGTTTTTCTATTTCCACATCAAATTAAAGTGAAGCACGCTGGCCCTGTTACTGAAGCAGTGTGTGTGGGTCGTTTGCTGTGAGATAGTCCTATGGCTGTTGTCCATATGGGAAAATCTCTGGTGTGCATGTTATTTCTCCAGGTAAATACCTATGGGAGGTAGAAATTATTACAACCTGCTGTTTGCTTTCATGAGAAGTATGACAATATGAGACTGGGGCAATGAAAGATGCTAGAATTTCTTCTAGAACTTTGTTCATGTCAGCTCATTCATGGTTTAGCCACCCTTCAAACAGTATTTAATGATAATAGTCTGCTTTTAATTGGCTTTATCTATTTATTCTGTTTTGTGTGATTGCAGGTCCTCCAGGTATGGATCTCTGGCAACTGCTGTTGACCTTGGCAGTGGCAGGCTCAAGCGATGCTTTTCCTGGGACTGAAGGTAAGTTCTGCTTTCCCATTCCCATTCCCAGTGTTTTGAAATAACACGGAACTTTGTTAAATCTAAGTTCTTTGGATGATTTAAGTTAAGATTTAAGTAACAGAATAAAGGAAACTCATCTTAGCTTTCAAATCATAAATACGCTGGACTTTTCTATGGATGTTTAGGAAGAATACAATTTTGGCATCCAGTGTTTTCACCTCAAAAATAACTGCTACAAATCATGCTGAGGGCATTTATGTTGAGGGCAAGGGCAAGCCAGGTCTCTTGGCCCTCAGGCTCTGGGAGAGATTTTGAAATTGCACTGAAGGGTAATTAACCTACTGATTACTCAGCTCATCTGTGACTTAGACATCATAGCCTATCTCCAGAACTGAGAATTAAGGTCCCTTAATCATATTCTCTGAGAGTGGAAATTGAGGTTTCAAATAAATTTCACCGCTCACTCTGTGAATGATTACCATTTGGCAACATCTGGAAGATGAGGCACCTGAAATAGTTGAATAATGTACTCACAAATCATGAGCTTCCTCAGCCATATCCATAATTCTCTGTTCTTTTTCATGCCTTCTTCCTACTGGAGAAGTCTCAATATATTCAAACTTTTGTCTCATGGCAGAAATAACTGAAACAAGAAAGAATGATGAAAGGGAATGAGAAGAAAGATTTTTTTTCTGTCCAGAAAGAAAACTGTGCACATAAAGGGACGGGAGACTTCCTAAAAGATTGTCTTGAGTACTTGATTTTTTCCCTTGCTTGGGCTTCAGTGGAGGAAAGGGAGAACCTGCTTCTCCTATGCTGTGACACCACATTGAGTTGTTGCTCTGAGAGCAGCTCACTCCCCTAGTCATCAGGCCACTCATGTTGGAAAACAAAGTTCCACAGCAGTGCCTGAAGTTGTCCTCTCTGACCTTTGAGGCAAAAATACATCCATAGTAGTGAGCTGCTGAAGGCGACCAGAGTAACTAAGAAAACAAGAAGAATAAAATATGTTATTTTATTTCTTACAGCAATTTTAAAATATTTATAGAAAAGAAGTCATAATTGAGATGTTTTTGGGTCTCTCTGGTGTTATAATGTCAACATTATGCAAGTCAAACACGGAGAGAATTGCAGGCTCCGTTTCAGCAGCTTTTCCCATGGCTAGTTTTAGACCCTGGTTCTGAGCCAAAGAATTATAGCTGAAATCCTCTGCTGTTCCAAAGTCATGGTAGTTGAATCTCTACTTTCTTCATTAAGGTGACTTTCACTCCACTGGGCGAGGCTTAGGAATTTTAAAAACCTACGAAATGAAAAGCATGGCAAAGGTAATCTTTAAAGACAATTGCAAATGTATCCCCAGATGAAAGACTAGAGCTCAAGTTACATTTGAGGCCTAGAGAGTCTGCAAAGTGCATCTATTTCAGCTGCTTTGACATTGTATCTCTGACATATACCTTTAAGTTCATAAGGTGGAGAAAACAACATCATTATCTGGTTTGTTTTCCTTTTGTTTTGCTTTTATATAGCTTTGTGTTTGCTTTGTGGAGAGCAGAGCAGAAAAAATAGCAATGGTTTGTAATAAACACAAATCACGTAGCCTACTAGTACTTACACACTTTATCCTCTTCTCTGCTCCCACGCCCTAACCAGAGAGTTAGAATTGGGTTCCTGTGCAGTACTCAGCGGCCATGAACTGTTTTCACCTCCTATTTGAGAGAATGGCAGTTTTTAATACCTCCTTTTCTGCTGTAGGAGTGCGCAGACAGATTTCTGGTTAATTTTGCACTGGAGATTGTGATTTATTTGTTTGTTTGTTTTGCTTTGTGAGATAAGAGCAACTTCTATGGAGATGTGTTTGCCTCGTAAAGAAATTGTGATAATTTGGGAGAAGTGAAGTTCATTTTCAGACAGCAGCTTTCAATAGTTTGAAGATGCGAGGGGGCCAACTACTATTTGCCTGAAGCAAAATTCACTTGTTTCTGACATCTGCCAAGTCTCTGAGATGCTAGAGGAGGTAACTTCTGGAGCAGAGAAAGCACCCACCGGAGAAATGCAAACCTGTTCATACCCTTAGTCAGGAAGCAAAAAATGCAGCCTGGGAATTGGGATTCCATCACAACCTGCTGTTGAGAGAGTTCATGCCAGGGGTAGCTTCTTTACCTGACTCTAAATATACTGACAGGCAGCTAATAAAACTAACACTTTATACAGAGTCCACTTCCTCAATGCTTTTCCTACCTTAAGAAAATACTTCAGAAATAAAATTCAAAAGGAAATACCCAGTTACCAATAGGGTTGCATTATCAGACTATGACATATTTCTGTGTAGTCTTTTTATGTATTTCTATTGGAGGCTTCAAATTATGATTACTCAGCCTATTCATCTTGGAGTAAAGGTGCTCAGTGGTTCCCATTTGCCAAGTAGATGGGATGGTGCAAGTCCATTAGCCCCAGAGGCTTCCAGGTCAGGAACTTAAAACATGCTTTTTACAATAACTGCAACTCACATTTGTATGAAATCTTGCAGTTGGCCGACTGTGTTCACCCTCACTCTCATGCTTGATCCTATCAGTGACTCTGTGAGGCGGTGTACAAGGGAGCTCCTTATGCGTGTCAGCATATGCATGCATGCTCAGACACAGGAAGATACTCAGTTTATGTGTTTTCTTTGAATTTTTCTGAAAACATAAAATCACATGGAACACAATATGGGTCATCCAGTGCATAGAAATGAAAGAACAGAGAGAGCGTAAGACATTTTATACCTATTCAGATTTATGAAGCCATTCCTGGGGACCACACCATTCCATTACCCGTGAAAACAAACATTCTTGTTCATCGTTTTAGCCTCATTAGGGTTAGCAGGAAGATCTGTTTCTATATCATTATGGGCAAGAATGCCCAATAATACAAACGAGGCTGAGGGAGGCCCCGGTGGAGCTCCCAGTGTGCTGCTGAGGTGCGCCTTGTGACTTGGAAGTAGTGTAATTTTATGGCAGCATTGCAGCTGAACTTCCAAGTGGTTAGCTGTCAGAGGTAACAACACTCTACTCTTCAAAGGGCAGTCTGCTGAGTTCATTTTAAACCAGTCCAAACTTGCCTCTTCAGAGGTCCAAAGAGAGGCCGCTTGGTTTATTTATTCCAAAGAAGCATATTTCCTCCAGGTAAAGGTATGCATTGGCTGAGGCATGTTGATCTGCTCCCCCATTCATCAAAGTGAAGGGTTTAAGGTGTGGCCACACTGGGAATTCCAAACAGCCAGCAAGGCTGGCCGTGAACTGACCGTCTTTGAGTCTGAGGTCTTTACATTCCTGGGCCTTTCACAGACCACATTCCTCCTCAAACTAAAAGCCCAGGAGGACACCAGATGTCCCAGGGAGCCATCTAGGAAGCACAGATGTTTTATTTTCTTTTGCTTCTCACCTTCTTTCTGCCACCTGCTACCCAGCGAATCGTGTCCCTGCTAAGACTACTCACTGAAGACCCTGCGGCGCCCCGTTGGCCTGTGCCCGCACACCCTCCTTGTGGATGCACAGGTAGCAGGGATTTCCAAGTGGGCAGAAGTTTAATAAAATAACTTATTTACAGGAACCTACCCCCACAAAAAAAAATAAAAATAAAACCTCCCCAAGGATGGCTCATTCGCATAGTATTTTGAGTGTTAATTGAACTCTTCTGTTCCCTGGGGAACACATAGAAGTTTTGTTGTTACAGTGGGTTGTTTGTTTCTCCTTTTATGGCCTGTGCAGCTCAAGGCCCCATGCTGGGTGATACTGTTGACAAGTTTTTCTATTTCCACATCAAATTAAAGTGAAGCACGCTGGCCCTGTTACTGAAGCAGTGTGTGTGGGTCGTTTGCTGTGAGATAGTCCTATGGCTGTTGTCCATATGGGAAAATCTCTGGTGTGCATGTTATTTCTCCAGGTAAATACCTATGGGAGGTAGAAATTATTACAACCTGCTGTTTGCTTTCATGAGAAGTATGACAATATGAGACTGGGGCAATGAAAGATGCTAGAATTTCTTCTAGAACTTTGTTCATGTCAGCTCATTCATGGTTTAGCCACCCTTCAAACAGTATTTAATGATAATAGTCTGCTTTTAATTGGCTTTATCTATTTATTCTGTTTTGTGTGATTGCAGGTCCTCCAGGTATGGATCTCTGGCAACTGCTGTTGACCTTGGCAGTGGCAGGCTCAAGCGATGCTTTTCCTGGGACTGAAGGTAAGTTCTGCTTTCCCATTCCCATTCCCAGTGTTTTGAAATAACACGGAACTTTGTTAAATCTAAGTTCTTTGGATGATTTAAGTTAAGATTTAAGTAACAGAATAAAGGAAACTCATCTTAGCTTTCAAATCATAAATACGCTGGACTTTTCTATGGATGTTTAGGAAGAATACAATTTTGGCATCCAGTGTTTTCACCTCAAAAATAACTGCTACAAATCATGCTGAGGGCATTTATGTTGAGGGCAAGGGCAAGCCAGGTCTCTTGGCCCTCAGGCTCTGGGAGAGATTTTGAAATTGCACTGAAGGGTAATTAACCTACTGATTACTCAGCTCATCTGTGACTTAGACATCATAGCCTATCTCCAGAACTGAGAATTAAGGTCCCTTAATCATATTCTCTGAGAGTGGAAATTGAGGTTTCAAATAAATTTCACCGCTCACTCTGTGAATGATTACCATTTGGCAACATCTGGAAGATGAGGCACCTGAAATAGTTGAATAATGTACTCACAAATCATGAGCTTCCTCAGCCATATCCATAATTCTCTGTTCTTTTTCATGCCTTCTTCCTACTGGAGAAGTCTCAATATATTCAAACTTTTGTCTCATGGCAGAAATAACTGAAACAAGAAAGAATGATGAAAGGGAATGAGAAGAAAGATTTTTTTTCTGTCCAGAAAGAAAACTGTGCACATAAAGGGACGGGAGACTTCCTAAAAGATTGTCTTGAGTACTTGATTTTTTCCCTTGCTTGGGCTTCAGTGGAGGAAAGGGAGAACCTGCTTCTCCTATGCTGTGACACCACATTGAGTTGTTGCTCTGAGAGCAGCTCACTCCCCTAGTCATCAGGCCACTCATGTTGGAAAACAAAGTTCCACAGCAGTGCCTGAAGTTGTCCTCTCTGACCTTTGAGGCAAAAATACATCCATAGTAGTGAGCTGCTGAAGGCGACCAGAGTAACTAAGAAAACAAGAAGAATAAAATATGTTATTTTATTTCTTACAGCAATTTTAAAATATTTATAGAAAAGAAGTCATAATTGAGATGTTTTTGGGTCTCTCTGGTGTTATAATGTCAACATTATGCAAGTCAAACACGGAGAGAATTGCAGGCTCCGTTTCAGCAGCTTTTCCCATGGCTAGTTTTAGACCCTGGTTCTGAGCCAAAGAATTATAGCTGAAATCCTCTGCTGTTCCAAAGTCATGGTAGTTGAATCTCTACTTTCTTCATTAAGGTGACTTTCACTCCACTGGGCGAGGCTTAGGAATTTTAAAAACCTACGAAATGAAAAGCATGGCAAAGGTAATCTTTAAAGACAATTGCAAATGTATCCCCAGATGAAAGACTAGAGCTCAAGTTACATTTGAGGCCTAGAGAGTCTGCAAAGTGCATCTATTTCAGCTGCTTTGACATTGTATCTCTGACATATACCTTTAAGTTCATAAGGTGGAGAAAACAACATCATTATCTGGTTTGTTTTCCTTTTGTTTTGCTTTTATATAGCTTTGTGTTTGCTTTGTGGAGAGCAGAGCAGAAAAAATAGCAATGGTTTGTAATAAACACAAATCACGTAGCCTACTAGTACTTACACATAGTAAGTAATTTAGTAAAGGTATTTGTTCCTCCTCCTTTTTTTCTTAGTGGGCTAACCAGAATTTCTTTGGAATATGTGGCTGTTCCAGAATTCTACCTTAAAATAGCCTGGGGATTGTTAAGGATGGGTATGATGTTTATATAACAAGGTCCAGGTGAGTGAACGAACATGTGCACGAGTGTGTGTGTGAGAAAGAGAGAGAGAGAAAGATTGCCATGTCTGGCCGCTCTGACGGACTCAGCCAAAGTGTTCACATGACATGACATGGACTGAATCTCAGATGACAATCATTGGCCATGTGTTCCTTTTTCTGCCAGGTCTGGATTGTAGCCAAATCATTTTATTTTTATTTTCTCTCCCATTGTGTAAGGCAGACTAAAAATACAGATGAGGACTTAAAATTTTTTTTAAAAGGACACTACTGTAGCGTCACCAGCCATTCCTTTGATTTCAGTTTGGTCAATGAAGATGTGGCCTTGCTGAGTAAGGAATCTGCGACATGTCACTCAGAAAAGTTGCCCAGGAGCAAGTAGAAGGTGACAGATTTGTATGCCGGGGAAGGTTGGCACTTAAAGCTTGGGCAGATGAGCAATTAGAAATATACTAGCCCTGAGAGGATTTTTTATTTAGTCTAATTTCCCTAAGGGAAATTTAATGAGAACTAAACCCCAAGTAGTACCACTGCCGTATCAGCTAACATGCTACAGTGGAGGCTCTCTCTTAGTCCTTCTTCCTTATTTTAGTCTGTACTTCTCCAAGCAGTTTACGTAGTCTCAGGGAGAATTCCCTGCTCCAAAATCAGGAATGCCCAACCATGCCTCCCTTTCAGAGGGCTACCCAGGGTTGAACTGTCCACTGGTTGCATCAAACTTCTCCTCAAATGACGACTTTGATGAGAAGGGTGCAAAGAGGTTTGATGACTAAAAGTTCTCTTCCAAGAAGTGCCTGATGTGTTTAGGTCATATCTCTACTATTTCATTCAGCCTACAACTGAGCATCCTCTGACCTCAGCAACCTAGAAGGGAGCATGCAAGCCCCCTGCCCTGAAGAAGATCAGTCTCCATATGAGGAACTTCATGAAATTAATGAGAAACTATATAGCTTTAAGGTCTAGATTATGTGGTGAATCCAAACGGTCAAGATGCTCTGCAAAAGAATAAATTGAGGTGGACTGAAGAAGTTAATTCAATGCATTCAATGTACGGATATTTCTTTAGAGCTTTCTGTTTTCAAAGACTGAGCCTCAGGTCTCTGAGGAATGCACTGATTCTTCCCTCCAGGAATTTATCATGAGTTAAGGGATAAAGAATATATACAAAGAATCACTGCATGAGGCAGTGTCTCTGAACTCTCAAAGTGTGGCCTGTGCTCTACTCTTTACTAAGTATACACTGTACTAAGAGGAGTGAATTGAGGAGGAGGGTCACCTCTGGCTGGAATGAACCAGAACTTCATGAAGGAGGCTGGTGTGATTTCAGCAGGAATAGAATATTGGGTGGGCCAAGACTTTAAAAGGCTGAGAAGAACAGGAGGCAAATAAAGAATAAGCGATGTGATAAAAGAGCAACAAGCAGAATAGACATGAGGTATATGCAGAGAACAACTCATTCAGTGGCTGAGTTTATCCTATATATGGGCGCTGTACTAGCGCTGTTCTATTTCACACATTTAGCATTCAGCACATGTTTTTTGAGCACTTACTTTGTGAAAGGCATAGGATTAATTTGGCCAGATTACAGGAGTACAATAATTATTCCCAATGGAAGTCAGATTAGTAGATTCAAATTAAATTATAAAAGGTCTTAAGATGGCAAATACCTCATGGAAAAGGCAAGTCTTGCTGGGCCTTGGAGAATGGGGATAGTATTTGGAGAGGAAGATCAAATAGTGGAATTGGATGCCAAATCCAGCAAGTCATAGTCCTTCTCAAAGTTGTAGGCCAGGCAAAATGCTGATGATGGAACATGATTGTGTAGGTGTGTATATAATATTTATATGGAGCATATATAATATTTACATATATATTGCATTTGTATTTGTGTGTGTATGTATATGGCATATATATGGTGTGTATATGTATTTATATATGTATATACATATATATATATGGCATGGCTTGCAGGCAAGGCACATAATTAGTATCTTATCACTCTAAAGACTAAAAAGGACTATACCATTCTATACGAGAAAAAGTAAGAAACTTATACTAGGAGTGTGATGCCATGTCCTAAAGGAGTCAGGATTCCCAGAATAATGCATCTGCATATCTTTGAACACTTTTCATAAACCTATACAGACTGATACAACACTTACATGAAAGAAAAGACATTTCTGTTCTCATTGTTAACAGGAAATAATGACTCAGTGGAAGGAACATTTTATATATATGTTCTTAAATAAACCCTACTCTCTTAGAGTTGAAGCTCTACAGAGCCCTGAGAGGTTGCCATGACATATAGGGTATGTTTTGAGCAAGTATTAGAATCATGGTGTAGTTGGTAAATAGTAAAAGGTGTGCCTGTTAAATGTTTTCAAGAAATGACAATTCAAGGCTTTCCATTGACACTGGAAGTTGGGGGGAGCCATACAGCTTAAACTTGCTACTGTTTTTACTGTCACCAAGAGGCAAGAAGAAATGAGACAGTCTGTTGTAGTGCCAAGGCCTGAGTCCATGTACATCTGCAACCCTGTGCTCCTGGTCCTCTTGATATCACAAAGAGCTTTGACACTGGAATTAAGCAGGTCAGAGCAGGCCAGGTGAAGGAACTCCTGGTCGTGCACATCTAGACGGAGCCAGTGGAAGATATGAGCAGAGAACTTTGCAGATAATGACACAAAACAGTCTTTCAGCAGATACTTACTGAGCACTTTCATGGATTCAAAGGTGAATTTTCAATCTGTGTTCCTGCCTTTAAGGAACTCCTGGTCTATAGAAGGGAAGACAGACAAGTAAACATAATTTAATCGTGGTCCCCTTAGGTTATTAAAGAGTTTTAAGCAGGACAATAATACAGTTAGATTTTCAGTTTGAAATAATGCTGGCAATAGAATAAAAGTAAATTTGAGAAAGACAAATGTAGAAGAAGATGATTGAAATAGGTCAGGAGAGAGAGATGATGTATGACAGCTGTAAAAAATAGATGAATCACAGAGATGTTGCTAGAGACAGTATCACCAATCTTACTCCATCTATTTCTAAATTCCCACATTTTAGCTATTGTTACCAACATTAGCAGTGACTCACTTTTAATACAGTGAAGTCCTAGAGCGCAGCTCAAGTGGTACTTACACAGAGCAGCTCTGTGGAGGAGGAGAAACACACTGAGACTGATGACAGCAGAGAGCCACCTTTCTTTTGTACCATTTCCCAGAACTCTTGCCTGGGCCTTGCCTGGGTCCCA